TGTTTTTTATATGATATTTTCTCTTCCGGTGGCATGTCTTCTGGTCCGAGACAGCGTAAGATGCATTGATGCAGCAAATTCTCAGAAATTTCGAAGTTCTAGCGCCCTTGTTGAAATTATATGTTTATTACTCTTACCCTTTTCCACTAAACGCATCCATCTTGTAAAAATAACAGATCGATATTCAAAGTGTAGCGTCCTAACAACACTCTATAAGTAAAAAGACTTTCATACATTAAACATTACTAAAAATAGTTCGTGAATTCGATTATGCAGGAAATCGATCATCTCAAATTAAGACTTCCAGCATAATTCACAAACAAAACTACAATGAAAACATGCCATAAACATCAGAGATGTATCAGAAGGGCCCAAAGGTTTTCACTTAGTAGAAATTCGATCCTAGAGAGAGACTGAAGCAAACAATTTCAAACTTCTTATTCTTGTGTAAACAATCCAGAAATTTCGAAGTATAGCGTCCTTCGAGTTACACTAAAGGCGCAATTCTACATAATGACGAATAACTATGACCTAAAAAGCAAAGATTACGTACAACATACCACAAACAGCAGGTTAAAACGCTTGAAAATCAGACATTTTGAAGCAACTTTAAAAGATAATAAACACACCCATTGTCGGATTCGATACCTCAATTGAAAGTGTCACGCAGGGCAAGGGGAGAAACGCACTGCGCACGCGTGGTAGTGTCATGGGGAGATTAATCTTTAACCCGCTGCGTAGCGGCTGTAGGGGAGGGGAGAGGGGGAAAATGAAGGGGTGGGGTGGGGGTGGGGAGGATATATACATGGGATTGGTTTACCGTATTTGAGAGATTATAAATTTTCCCCAATCAAGTACGTGGTTTTGGTCTATAAAAATGTTTTTTTTTCCCAGACCAACTTGATGGAAAATATAATATTTCAAATCGTTAATTTACAACTATTTCTTTTTTGTGTAGTTATAGCACACAAATGTTTACATTTTAACATGCTGTTAGCCTATTGCCGAAGAAACGCTTGGCAAAACACCCGATATTTAAAAAAAGTGCATGGTTGTACATTTAATCTCTTATAGCATCTATCTTAGCTTATATGATAAACCAGATACTGTGAATCAAACACGCGATTTTTTAATCTATTCCGTTTTAGGAGTAATGTTGTGTTTTGATTTTGTTTTTGTTTGTGTTTTTGATTTTTTTTTCTTATGTTTAACGTGGTTGGCAATGAAATAAAAAACTTTGTTGACACCGAACCGAACTCACTGACGTCAATTGGTTCTTTCGAGTGATGATTCCTGTTGCACAACGTTTCTATAATGTGTGCACACACTGCACACTGTGTTTTAAGGTCCTTCGCCAAAATTGATCCCAGGCCAGAAATACAGTAATTTGCGGAGTGTTGGTATAGGAGTTGGTACTTGTGTTCTCCCGCAAGATGACTCATGCGCGCGCCTGTATACTTCATCATTTACTCTTGTCATCATGTGCATAATATCCTCCTTGTCTGCATATTTTCTGAAAACAGAAACCAAGCTTTGGATGAAGTAGCTTCCTCCTTCCATATGTCGATATGAAGAGTAACCTTCAAAACTAGAGTAAGCGATGAGCATGTCTACCATATCAAGATCTTTGCTCTCTGATGGTGGAAGCTGTGCTGATGATCCTTGTTCATTGACCGTTGGCCCATCGGCTACGTCCAAGAACCCACCTCCCCTTTTGCCACGGCATGCTTGTACGAAAAACAGCTTTGGCTTGAAGCGAAAACCCTCACACATCGAGTTGGAGAACATGTTACAAACAGCTGAGACTTTGATTGGTTTTCCATCGTATGCGTAGAATTTGTCGTCTTTTCCATGACTCATGATGCAGACTGCAAGACAGTCGTAATCTTTATACGCAGAGTTTTCAGCAGTTTTTCGCAGATCTCCCAAAAGTTCATTTCTTGGTTTGTCTATGATGGTACAAACTTTGAAATTCAAATATCTGCTGAAAAGGTCAGCTAGATCATTAACATCTTTTTCAGATCCGTTTCGCTCGGTWAATTCTCTTTCAAGATGTTCTTTATCTTCATGTGTAGGRTCGACTACAAATTTCTGGATGTTAATGATGACCAKCAATCCTCTGGGGTYACTTTTCATCCTGTAAACATCGCTCGAATCTGGATCGTCTTTCGGACCACTGGAATATTGCTCTGAGAAAAGTGACAAGAGCTACATGATGTTTTACTCAAAACCGAACAAAAGAACCAAAAAAAAGGCGCTGCTTCTATTCTACTGAAAAAACAGGGATAACACTTACGTTCACTGACTTCGCTTGTGCGTCTTACACGTCCTTCTTCCAAAGTATCAAGAACTCGGTCTGTCACCATATTAACCTACATTGAATAAATCAGTATTTTACATGAACAAAAGGTTGCTTATTCACAAATAGGTGTTGCAGACCGATGCATCTCCGCATTGGAACTCTCTTTGCAACAAGGCCGGGCTGCATTGTATTCTATGCCAAATGGTGCTATTCCTCTTATGCCATATCTCAGGCTTTTCGGACCTAACTAAAGTCGACACGTCCACTTTTGACTTGCCTCATGCATTAGCTGATTTAGTATTTCTATATTAACTTACCGTTTCCCGGTGAGCTGACTTTAAAAGATCTTCCCATTCACTCTTAGCCAAAGTAAAGGTTTTCCATAGAAAATCTCCCACCTTCTCAGCACCAGAATCTTCCAAAAATAACACGTGGATATAAAAAATAATGTTAATAGCTAATTGTGATTTATCGAGGTAAACTTGGTAGAAAAAACCTCAGGACATTACAGAATTATTTCAAGTTATAAACGCATATTCAATACTTTAACGACGACATTTGCAGACACTTTGTAAATGGCAAGTGGCGTTTGATCTCTCTATAACATGAACATAACTTTGCAACACAATATAGATTTCTTATACCAAATTACAATGACTTCCTGACTTTTTTAGCAGATTTTGATTTTAGTTCTTTAGCTGCAAACAACGCACCTACTGATACTTTCAATTCTTTGAAAACTTGTCCAACTACTGCTGTTTTATCCACTTTCTCTAGAGCAGCTGGATTAATCCACCACGTAAATGACGTAAACACTCGCCACGTAAATGACACTTTCGCTGTACCATTTTCCATCTCCAAAACAATCCCTACTGCATTCAGGTCCTTGTTAAAATTGCAATAAACATCAAGTTAGCACAAATAATCATTTATGGTACCTTATGTTTTGCAGTTTCATCGCCAAAACATGCACCATTTTTGCATTAGGAGAGGATCTCAATGGAATCAACCTAAAATCGCCGTAATTTTGCGCGATTGCAGGCGATTTTAAGCGATTTTAGTCGATTTAAGCAAAAATCACCAAAAACCCATGTAAATCTAAGGCGATTTACTGCGATTTTAGTCGATTTAAGCAAAAATCACCAAAAACCCATCTAAATCTAAGGCGATTTACTGCGATTTTGGGCAATTTTAGGCAATTTTAGGCAATTTTAGGTCCCGGACTAGGCCTAAATTTAGCCGTCGACAGTCAAAGTCGCTGTTTTTTTTGAGCTGTCAACCGTGATAAACGTCAATCGTCAAGACCTTCGACATGATGAATAAAAAGATTTTTTACTTATCTGTGCGATAAGTGCTTTTTAGACATTTACTTCGTATATATGCAATCATATAAGTTAGTATCACTCTTCAGGGCGATTTGTTAATACAAACAAACTTACTCAATCAAGTAATTTGTATTTTACCTCCTTCATGTCCGGGTGAAATCCCTTGTGTTKCTCTGTCTGCAGTTTTTGCAAAGCCTGTATATTATCAGTCAGCCTAACGACATCATCTTTTGAAAGTTTAGGAGTCTGATATAAAAGATCACGATCAAATGGAATTAATAAATTGGTTTTGCAATTGATTATCCGACTCGGATCTAGATTTCCAGATTCGGTAACACAGGTAGCACATCAATRCACTACAAACTAGGAGTGACTAGCTGTTGTCTTCAAAAGATAATGGTATAATAGACTCGAGGTAGGTTAATGATGAAGCAAAGAGTTGCCTTGATTTTCTTTACTATTTTTTACCTTTGAAAGAGTACTTGGAGCTGGATATCGCCACACCTCTCCTCCCAGACCCTCGTATTTAACTGAAACTGATCCATCTGAAGCGTCAATCTTATTGACTATCCCAATTTCACCAACGAGCTATTTGAAAGAAATAGATTGTTTTGGCCTTTTTTACGACGACAACAACAAAATATGCAACTTTTTGAGTTGTCTTGATCGCTGTAAGATATAAGTAAAATTGCACTTTGTGCGAAACCGTATTTCTTTGCTGTACACGTTCGTTCATACCTTTTGCGAGTCATCTGACGAACATACATTGACGCTCTCTAAACGGTGGATGCARACGTAATCTCCTACATAYAATTGACCMTCCTCCATTTTCACGAGAGGAAGATGATCTCTGTAATACATTGGACCATTGGCGCTCTCCACGAGCATGAGCTCTACCTGAACATCGAGAAGATTCGTTAAAATGTTAAAATGTTTAACTCTTTGCAGCATTATACTTTATTGGAGCCTAAATAATGTAAAAAACTAGACAGCATCATTGGTGTCGCAAACGGCTGGGAAGATTGAAGGGGGTTGTTTTTTTTGGAAACCTTATTTACGTTGGTATAACCCTGTGCCGTTTTGTCGCTTGTGTCTTATGGATCGGAGATACTTACGTGCCCATCCAGTCCTAAATTGTGAATATAAACATCTTCAGCTGTTTCGTCCCAGAGCACTCCACATTTACCAAGTGTTTCCCCCTCAATCTCGCTTATATCAATGACAATACCAATACCCAATGGTGAGTCAGGATCACGCGGTGTAACATGGGAACCAGGGTAAATACCTCTTGCTTGATACTTGTTGCACTGAGAACGTTTGCCAACAAGGTGTCTGAAAGAAGATAAGACTTTCTTAAGATACCGGCTTCTTTCCTTGTTTAGGAAAAGAGAGCTCAGCTAAAAATGTGTCTAGTAAAATTGGGTTTATAATTTAGAAAAATGCTGGCTATTGATAATGGTATGTACCGGGGGGAGGGGGGGGGGATGGTATAGTGTATCATTTTTTGTCCATTATCTGGGTTAGGGTAGACGTTTTGTCTGGGATAGGGTAGTTTTTGTGTAGGATAGGGTATAGTCTCATTGTCTGGGGTAGGGTGGAGTTTTGCCCTTAGATGTAGGATGGGGTATCTAAAATCACAAAAATTGGTCTGGGATAGGGTGAGGGTTTTGAAGGTCGTGCGGCACACCCCCACCCAAAATTGGGATGTACTAGTGTACAAGTTGCTGTACTACATACTCGGGAGGATATGTAGTACTCGGCATAATGTTTCTTAAAATAACCGGGAAGGAGGGGGTGTTAAAATCGTCCATAATGCCCTACAGTTTAAATGTCRCTTAAGRCGRCGACTTCCCCGCCTGGAGTAGGCCTATAATTGCAATAAACTGTATTAKACTTTACAACAATACAGACCCCTCGTGCTTCTCATGGAGTTTGCATATAAAGTTATGACCAAGATAATGATGATCTTCCATGTAGCATGTTGAACACAAGCAATAGTTGGAACAGTCATTGCAATCCCAGCAGAGGCCCAAGATTGGTTTTGCTCCACAGCCATCACATTCAAAGTTTGTAAACTTCACACCTAAATAATGTTTAAAAGAATCTCTAGTGAATATATTTATCAGTATGAATAAGCTTTTCAATTTTATTTAGTTCATGATATTATATTTTTAAAGAGTTCGTCTATCATTATATTAGCGGGCATTAAATACTTTTTTAAAAAAAATTGTTGTATAGTCGTATATATTGATTATTTTAATCATGTGGATCGTACTAATGTAGTTATAATCTCAGTTTTTTCAAAGGTTTTTAAATCAACATTTTACAGAAATCAAATATGGCCGCTTTACGTCGATGGTCGTCATCAAAAGATCGCCATGTAAACTAGTGCAAAATGCGCATACAAAGCTCATCAAATAAATCATAGTAGATGAACTGAAATAATAGTAATTTACAATGGGGAAATTTTTCCCTAATAAAAGAACATTCAAATTTGAAAATAATAACTGAAAAGCTCAGAAATCCAGTACCAAAAATGAACGTAAATAAACATACCGCTTGGCGACGAGTCAAGGAGCCTCAAATCATGATTTCGCTGCTCGATGCTTACACTATACGCAGCTACATTCCCAGTATCCCAGCATACTTCTACTGTTGCCTTATCCAATGGTATTCCTTCCTCATATTCACTTAAAATGCCTATAATTGTCCCGACATGTCCCTCGCCACCATCCTGATCACCCCACTTCCAATCTGGACCACGAACGACTCTGCTTCCTAACAACATGGAAAACACTTCACGTGGAATCAGTATTGGCTACCTTAGTTGTAACAGTTACAATGATATTCGTGTGATATTGGTAAATAGGTTGGATTCAGCGAGATTCCAAGGAACTTGAAAGGGTTTTTTTTCAAAGGGAAAGTACCAAATATTTGGTTTAGGGAAATTCCCAGAATTTGACCTTGAATAATCAAATCACTTTTTTAGTATTTATGTACTGTCACGCAACTTGATTTACACGGTTACTTTAGTATTGGAATAAAGAAAGAAAGAAAAGAATATCATGGTTCCCTGACTTTGTAACGAACGTCACTCGGTGGTTATAATGATGCTATAATTATTATAATTAGATATTGGAGTCTTTGAAGATCAAGAAATACGATGATTAACAAATAGATCTCATTTTTCCGTGTGCGTGTGTGTTTGCAGTCGAGTGTGTGACTGTTGTTCTCACTACATTTTGACGTCATCTGTGTATCTATTAGAGTACACGCACACGGAAAAATGAGATCTATCTGTTTTATACAACAAAAAATTAGTTTTATTGCAAACGAAAATGTCAAAACACGTAAAAAAAGTCAAAACAACGAGAAAACTATCTTTTCATTTGACAGTGTGACGTAATCCGTGTATCTATACTTTGATAACACACGAGAGCCAACCAATCAAAACGTCTGATTTTACTGAAAAGTTGTATGTTATGTAATAGCAGTCCTGAGTGAGCGGA